TACCACATTCTACCCTCCCAAATGGCATCGTCGCCCCGACGATGAATCCGTTGTTTCAAGTGAGACAAGCCGTCTGTTGGACTAATTTCCAATGGTGGACCTTGGAAGATTGTAGACATTGGGGTGCTGACCTGCAGTAGCCCGGGTGGATCTGCGCAGAGGAAGCTCCCCCGCTTGAGACTCTGTGCTCGAAAGGTCGGGTGGAGCTTGGGAGGGGCTCCGGTGAGCAGAAGAAAGCCCTGAGGCCCTGGAGGCAGGAGGGGAGCGCCCCAAAGACGCTGGTATAACGAACACATTGCCATCATAAGAATCCGGAGACCACTCCTCGCGTGGGGTGAACTGCTCCCTTGGTGGGTCTTCCGCGACCATGCCAGGGTTGCCAAGAGAAACCAAAGCTTTAAGCAAGGAACGATGTACTCTCCTGATCTTACTCGGGTCATCAACCGGGGCCACTGTATACACAGAACCTTCCCCTTCTGGTACCCGTATAACCTGGTAGGTGACTGGACACCAACGGTCCTGAGTCTTCTGGCGACCCCTTATGTTGTAATTGCGCAAAAGCACAAGCTGACCCTCTTGGAGCGGGGTGACTCGCACCAGCCTGTCATGGTTGGCTTTTCGGCGAGCTGCTGCAACCTTTAACCGGGCTTGCGCTCCATCAAAGGCAAGGTGTAGCCGGGCTTGATGCTCCGCTACCCATTCCGTTACGCTTCCCGCCAGTGGTTCCTGCACGTGGCCCAGAAGGAAGTCAACAGGAAGACGGGGCTCCTGACCAAACATAAGGAAATACGGAGATTCCCCGGTCGACTGATGAGGTGTCGTGTTATAAGCGAACAACACCTCAGGGAGACAGGAACTCCAGTCCCGCTTCCGCGAAGTAGGTAACGTGCGAAGCAGATTGTGCAGTGTGCGGTTGAACCTTTCGCACTGCCCGTTACCTGCTGGATGATATGGGGTGGTTCGCGATTTGGTCACCCCATACAAGCAGCAAAGCTGTTGTATCAAAGCGCTCTCAAAGTTGCGGCCCTGATCTGAGTGGATACGAGCTGGGACACCAAGCTTCGCAAACCACTCCGAGATCAGGACCTGTGCTACAGTGGACGCACGTTGGTCCCTGGTGGGGACAGCCAAGGTGTATTTACTGAAGACATCCGTCATCACCAGGACATTCTCTACACCTGCCGATGTGGGTTCAAGCAGGGTGAAATCGATTGCCACAATTTCGTTCGGCTTTGATGCCAGGAGGTGACCCATGTAACTGCGAGCAGCTGGCTGGTTGTTTTTAGCAAATTGGCATCGCTCGCAAGCTTGGCACCACTGCGCCACCTCCCGGGACATACCTGGCCAGTAGCAGCGAGAGCGCAAAAGGGCTAGAGTCCGGTCAACCCCTTGGTGTCCGTGCTCCTGGTGTACCTTGGTGAGGACATCCTTGACCAAAGCTCTGGGCAAGAGCAGCTGGTATACTGCCCCACCACCATCTGACCGAAACATCTGTCGGTACAGGAGGTCGTCTACCTCAACCAACCTCTCCCATTGTCCTAGAAGGACAAGGGCTAGTTCAGAGAGCTGCTGTCGCTCTACCTGGGTGGGGCGCTGATCTTTCCGCCAAAAGACTGCTACCTCCTGGATGACTGGATCCCCCAGTTGTAGAGTATGGAGGTCAGCTGGGGCATAATGGGGAAATACTGCCATCACCGATTGTGAAGCCTGCCCTTGTTGGTTCTGCAGCATTTGCTGCAGTGGCTGAGGCAAGGGAGTACCTTGGGCAGGAAGAGTCTGCACCTCCAAATCCCAGGGCTGCCTGGATAGGGCATCAGCATTGCGATTGCTCTTCCCAGACCGATACTTCAGCTCGAAGTCGAAGGAGGCAAGCTGAGCGGCCCAACGCTGCTCCACAGCACCTAGTTTTGCAGATGACAAATGGCTCAATGGGTTGTTGTCAGTGTAAACCAGGCATTTCTGTCCCAGCAGGTACTCCCTGAACTTCTCAGTGAGTGCCCACTTAAGCCCCAAGAGCTCCAGTTTCATCGAGCTGTAATTCGACATGTTTCGCTCAGGGGGTCTAAGGCCACGGCTGGCGTATGCAATGGGCCTTACCACCCCCTCCTGTTCTTGAGACAAGACTGCGCCTAGGCCATTATGGCTGGCGTCTACTTCCAATATGAAGGGAAGGGAGAAGTCTGCATATGCCAGAACCGGGGCCGAGGTGAGCTTTGCTTTAAGAGCATCAAAGCTCTGTTGGCACTCCTCAGTCCATGGCCCAGCAGCATTAGGGGAGACTTTCTTCCGAGTTGGCTTCCCCGTAAGTTCGGCCACTCTGCGATGTAAGGGGGCAGCCAACTTTGCGAAGCCCTCCACAAATCGCCGGTAGTAACTAGCAAACCCAAGAAAGGATCTAAGCTCGGTGGCAGTGTTTGGTGGAGGCCAGCTAGCCACTACCTCGATCTTGCTCGGGTCGGTGGCTACTCCCTGGTCAGAGATGATATGACCCAAGTAGCTCACCTCCGTCCGGAAGAAGCTGCACTTGCCCAGCTTGGCCTTCAGACCCTCGTTCTGCAGCCTACCCAGCACCACCGCCAGCCTCTCCAAATGCTCCGTGACTGTAGAAGAAAACACCACAATGTCATCCAAGTACAAGAGGAGAGACTGGCATTGTCCCCCATCGATACGGGGGAGTGGAAACGCATCCTTTCGGGTCTTGCCGTTCAACCGACGATAGTCGACGCAGAGTCTGAGGCTGCTGTCCTTCTTCCGGACGAGCACTATGGGAGAGGCATAAGGACTCGAGCTCTCCCTAATCACCTCAGCCTCCAAGAGCTTACGGATGTGCTCCTTCACAAGCTCGTAGTCTGATGGTGGGATCCGGCGATAGCGCTGCCTTATAGGCGCGTCATCGAGAAGTGGGATGTCGTGCTCCACCAGGTTGGTACAACCCAAGTCCTGCTCATGGGCTGCAAACACAGTGTCATACCTCCGCAAGAGTGTTCGCACCTGTTCCTGCTCCTCTGTTGACAGCAGGGACAAATCCACCCGTTCGATTGGGTCCGTTGCTGGAGTGGCAGTGGCCTGTGCTGAGATGGTCGCCATAGCGGTAGGCACCTCAGTCACACCTGCCGGCAAACTAACCACATTTACATTATTAAGCGTTCCAACGACGGTGCGAGGGTACAGCAGTACATCGCAGGTCCCTACATTAACAACTGGAACATAAGCAGTGCCTCTAATGACTTCAACCAACGATGGTGAGGCCAACAAACCGGAGGGCAATCCCGACTCCACGGGTTCAAAAAGCACTGGGTGGCCACTGTACTGTTCGGAACAAGTAGCGGGCACGACCTTCAGGCTGCCCGGAGGAACGCGCACAACCTGCTTCCCTCGGACTCTAACTCTCCCAGGGCGTGCATTGACTGGCACCTGGTGAGCTACATGGCACTTTTGGAGGGCGTCTACCAAGTAGGTAGGGGACGCCGCCACAGGAGCTGTGTTGAACAGTGCCGACCCATGCTGCCCAAAAAGTTCCTGATAGCACTTTCCGATCACGTTCATCCCCAAAACGCCGGGGACCTGAACTGGCATACCTGGTGGGTCCCTTACGACCAACACACCACAGCGGGGTATTGACTTACCACAGAGCACAACACTGAGTTCGAGATACCCTACATAGGGGATAGCCAGCCCGTTGGCTGCTCGTAGCTGCAGCCAATTACAGGCTTGCAACCGCTCCACTCCTCGGGACTCAAAGTGTTCTCTGAAGAAACCCTCTGTGATTGTTGACACCATAGAGCCAGTGTCAACCAAACAAGGCACCGAAATTCCGGCCATATCCACTTTTATGTGCGGGCATGACGCTATCAGTTTGGGAGCATCAACCAAACGGCTTGCAACTTTTGCTGAGCCAAAAGAGGCCCCACCCGGGCGGTGGCTCCTAGACCCGGGGGGAACTAGTTTTCCGACTGCTGTTGTACGTTACCACGAGACGGACGAGAAGAATGTTGCTGCCAATCGGGGGCACGCTGCCCGTCGCAATGCCTGGCTATATGACCTGGCCGTTGACACCTGTGACAGATTGTAGGTCCAGGACGAGGAGACAGACCTCTCTGGCGCTCTGATTGGAGAAGTGCGATGCTCCGAGTGAGCTTATCAAGCTGGTCCTGCTGCCGCTTTAGGAGTTCTTTCATGTCACTTACCTCTGTGCAAAGTGGATGGGGCACACTTGGGGGTCCACTGTGCACAGCATACTGGAGGCCAAATGCTGAAGGCACGGAGTTGCTTCGCCCACGGGCGCCAGCCGGCATACCCTCGCACTCCCACCTCAATGCCTCCCCTCTGACCTCTATCAAAGTTGCGTTTGGATTTTGACGAACGTGTTGCTTCAACACACGGCGCAATGCTCCATCACAGACATACTCTATAAACTGGTCACGCATCAAACTCTCAGAATTCGGCATAGCATTAGGTGCACGCGCTTTGACTTTGTCCATAAGGTTTAATAAGGCTAGCGAGAACTCTAAAAGGGTCTCTCCCTCCTGTTGTTTACGTGAGAAGAAGGCTTCCTGAAGAGCCACATAAGAATCGGAGCAGCCATATAAATCCTTAAGAATAGAAAGTATTTTATTTGGGTCGTCTCTGTCTGCACTGCTACGATATTTCAGCTCATGTCGTGCTTCGCCTTCTAAATGGTCGTATAAAAAGAATGCTTTATCAACTGGTTGCGATAGGTGTTGTGACCTCATGCAGGCTTCCGCTTCTTCAATCCAATCATTAAGGCTAAGCCCAGTGTGTCCTCGGAACATGGGACATTTCCGATCTCGTGGAACATAAACAAACCTATCCAGTGCAGGCGCAGTAGCGGTCCCAGCACCAGATGGTTGAGCCTGGTCTGAGCGCAGCCTCACGTTCTCCGTCGTCAAGTGGGCCACTTTGTCCCTCAGTCTCTGCAGTTCTTCTTCCATTATTCTACACGCGCAAATGCCAAAAAAATGAGTCTGGAAAAATTTTTTTTACAAATACGATCTACAAACTCCACCGCCACACGCCAACAACTGCTGCTGCTGCTTTGCCCCAGACTGAAAAACAAACAAAATGGTTGAGAATGTGTGACCTGTTCACAAAAAAAACCACTACACAAGTAGCTCTACATACAATGCATGAAATTCAGTTTTTGAATATGGTTGTGAGTGAAACAGTACACCTGCACCAGCAATTATTCCAGTGGCCACAATACCTTAGCTTCAAACAGAAAATATACATCAAAATCAAATGTACACAGCAAATCAAAATGCAAACCACACAAACATGCAAATAGCATAGGCAACTGGTACTGTTCGATTGACTTTAGCAGTGACTATTTTTCACAAAACTTTAACTGACATTTCAAAACATTTTTCACAACATAACTGGAACCTGGGCATCTGTTTATTCAATATCCTGCCAGCAATAAGCCAAATCTGTGGCAGCCTAGGGGTGGTGGTAATATGATTTAGAAAATAAGTTACATTAATTAATCATAACTGGTTAAAATATGTAAGTATTGAAATAAACCAAGCAACGCCACGACCGGAATTTCACCGGAAGAGTACTGTACTATAAATTTAGGACACACAGGTAAGTATTAAAAGATTAGAATGCACCAGGTTCCAAGTTTGACAGGTTTATTTTACAGTGTGGTCAATACAGTTCAGTCTTTTTATTTAATTTAAATGGATAAAAACTAAATGCTATACTCTCTCACTCGTTCGCACACTCACTCACTCTTACTGTTATTGCACATTCCCACAAGTATACGCCCCAGAACCGGGACGCAGCACTCCTTAAAGTGCGTGAGTGCTAGACCCAGGCGTCCACAACTGCGAAGGACATGGAGCAGCAAAACAGTGGGGTGAAACAGTCACAAGGCAGAGCAGCGAAACAAAGTGCGATAGCGATACGAAGCTGCGAAGCCAAGCAGCAGATAAAGCAGCTGAAGCCAAGCCAAAGCAGCAGGAATCAAGGCAAAGTAAAGCAGGAGCCAGGGCAAACAGAGCAGCAGGGGGCGTGTGCCAGTGCCGCTGGAACGCACCTATAAAAGAATGAATTTAGAATATTACCTAAAATAACCCTAACTAAATAAATAACAAAAAGGGGACAAAATAAATCTAAATAGATAAGCCTACCAATTAGAGCCCCAAGAACGAGTGGTCCACAGCTTTAGGCCAAACAGGAGGCTGCGCTCAGAGTAGCCACTATGAATGGGCGGACCAAACCCGCGCCACTTGTGGTGCGTAATGCTGATCACCACCAGCTAGATAAAAAGGTCCCGAGTTAAGATTAGAACTATGCATGAATGAATTTTGCTATTAAATAATTACCTTTAATAATTAGGTACACGCCACAGCGCATAGGACAGCGCAGCCCGTAGGCTTGGGTCAAGCAGCGTGACTACAAAGCGTGGACTACATTACAAAACTGTGCGAATTTATGAATGAACCGAAGCCTGCATGATTATACCTGTCGCTGCAGTCGAAGGCACGCTACAGAGGCCACTGTCGCACGAGAGTGCAGACGCAGGGCAAACACAGGAGCTGGGAAAAGATTGCGTTTTGTGAATGTGCATTCTACATGTTGTATTGGAAGCAGTGGTTTACCTGGCGCGCAGAGGTTTTTGGGTGCCTAGAGGAACCAGACAGCAGCACTGGAATGCGTGGAGCTGGGACAAACTCACAGCTGCAGAGGCGTGAGGGCAAAGAGGGGCAAATGAGGGGAGGAGCGCTTATAAAGCCCACCGGGGCGGCCCGTGGGAAAGCAGGCGCACCCTCAGCACTGACCTCAGAAGCCGTTTTACCACAAGTGCGTGTGTGGCGGGCTCCTCTCTGTGCAGATGGACGAGCGACCGCTTCCGCAGCACGATCTGTGTCCGTGAGAAGAAGAAAAAGTCCAGGCAACACACTCAAGTGTTCTCACTTCAGACACACATACACACACCTCAAACACACACAGACATATACCCACGTACACAGACACACATATATGCACAATTTACAAACACACACATGCACGCATACAGTATACATACACACACAAACACATATGTACGCACCCCAGACAGACACATACACGTACTTGTACACACAGCTATAGACGCATTTGCACACACTTACACATATGTACACACACACACATACACACATACAAGTGTTCACACTTCACACACATACGTGTACATAAATACACACACAGGTCTGACAGGATCAGACTTTTACCTGCAGGTGGCGCTATTCGGATTGTGTTAACACTTGAACCAGAGTTAACTTTTACCAAGCCCTGTGTTTCCAAGATCTCCTTATATGGGCATTCCTTCCGTGGTGTTAGCTACGCTCCGTAACAGTCGCAGACGTGGTGCTAATGTAGTTGCTAAGGCAAGCTGGAGTTTCACCTGAGAATGAAAGCCTATCCTTCTGCGGCTCATATCAGGATTTACAAAGACAATCTCAAAATATGAGTCCATTTTCTTTTCTAATGTTTCTTTGAGTTGCCTTGGTCATGACTTGTGCCATACAAATAAACTTGCCTTGCCAATTAGCGACGCCTGATCCAAAATGGCAAACAGCGCAGGCATTTCGCACACAAGTCTCTTCTTGCACAATCGCCTCTGAATATTTTAACACTGGAGGAGACAACGCGGTAATTTCTATTGAATAATTAGACCGGCGGTGAGTGCTTGGATCTGAGGAGGATGTGGATCGAGCTTTGACATTTACAGAAGGAACCATGTGAGAGGCATACTAAAAACCAGAGCACCAGAGCTACACGCCGCGCTGCCAGTTATTTTTATTCTGATTTTGAAGCTAAAAGAATTGGTGACACACCCAACATGGAGGGAGAGGACTAGTTTTGTTTTAAATGTGTGAAGTAATAGTAATCTCTCTCTGGACTCTCTCTAATCTCTGGTCTCTCTCTAATCTTTGGTCTCTCACAAATATCTCTCTGGTCTTTTTCTCTCTGGACTTTCTCAGGTCTCTCACTCTGGTCTGTCTCCGGCCTCTCTCTCTGGTTTCTCTCTGGTCTCCCTCTGAACCCTCTTTTTCTGGTCTGCCTCTGGTCTCTCCCTGGTCCTCTCTCTCTATAGTTTCCCTCTGGTCTCTTTCTCTCTACTCTCTGTCTGGTCTGTCTCTGGTCTGTCTCTGATCCGTCTCTGGTCTCTCTCAAGTTTCTCTCTGGTTTCTCTCTGGTCACACGCTATTCTCTCTCTGGTCTCTCTCAGGTTAATCTCTGGTTTCTCTCTGGTCACACGCTGGTCTCTCTTTGGTCTCCCTCTGGCTTCTCCCTCTCTCTGGAATCTCTCTCTGGTCTGTCTTGTGTCTCTCTCAGGTCTCACTCTCTGTGGTCTCTCTATGGTCTTTCTCTGGTCTCTCTTTCTCTCTGGTCTCCCTTTGGCCTCTCTCTCTCTGGTCTCTTTCTGGTCCGTCTCTGGTCTCTCTTTCTGGTCCGTCTCTGGTCTCTCTTTCTGGTCCGTCTCTGGTCTCTCTCAGGTCTCTCTGAGAAAGACCAAGAGGACAATGGTGATGAAACATATGGGGAAAGCCTCGTACGCGGCTAACATGCATTATTTATGGTCCAAACCAAAGAACGTGCTTCAGAACAAATGCATTATTCACGTGATTGGAATATGCAGCGCTTCAGACAGAGCTAACGCCATCACGGAAACCTAATATTTGAAATAGATGATTGCTGATTGGTCGAGCTGTCGGTAAACACATATACGGATATAACAAGCAATGTATAGATTGCTCTGTTGCTGGTTGAATGAGGGAGATGATTCTGCAGAATGTGGTGAAGGAGCTGGAGCGTGGTGTGGATGAGCACGGACAGGATGGCTCCGGACTATGGGGCTTTGAATGTCTATTGCAGCAGAAAGGAAATCCACATTATACAGAGATGAGGCTGGAATATCACGCTCGAGGTGTGGATTCTGCAGGCTCCAGTCTCTGCTCACAGCACTGAATGTGTACGGGTTTGGAGATTGTTATTATAATTAGAATATTCACTTCAATGTATTTGTGTGTGCCTGTATAGCTGTCTTTGGCTAAAGACAGATCAGGGACCAGAGGGAGATAGCAGAGAGAGACCAGAGAGAGTAAGCAGAGAGAGTGAGCGGAGAGAGGGGCCAGAGAGAGACCAGAGAGAAGAATGAGAGAGAGACCGGAAAGAGAGATCAGAGAGAGTGACCAGAGAGAGAGACCGTAGAGAAAGACCAGAGAAAGACCAGAGAAAGACCAGAGAAAGACCAGAGAGGGGCCAGAGAGAGAGATGGGAGTGAAGCCAGAGAGAGACCGGAGAGCGACTAGAGAGAGAACAGAAAGACCAGAGGAAAAGACCATAGAGAGAGCAGAGAGAGAGATGGTTGTGGGGCCAGAGAGAGACCAAAGAAAGACCAGAGAGAGAACGGAGAGAGAGTGACCAGAGAGAGGGACCAAAGGGAAAGACCAGAGAGACCAGAGAGAGAGAGACACCAGAAAGAGGAACCAGAGAGAATCAAACAATTCAAACAAATAAATAATAGGTAATGGTAACAAACACTTGTGTGAGGTCCGTGTGAGGTCTGTGGGAGGTCTGTGGGAGGTCTGGGGCCTCTCTGGGACTGGTCTGGGGGCCAGTCTGTTGAGGACGACAGCTCTGGGACCTTGTGGTGTCGGTGTGAGTGCAGAGAGAGAGCGTCCCCTGGGAGGAGCAGATGGGATTTTCGTGTAGAAAACATAACATCATTTTTTTAAAAACTGCTCAGAGAAGAAGCAGAATCAGAGCAGGACTCAGCTGTTTGTCTGTCAGTGTACGGCTGTCGGACACAGAGGCAACACTGTCAAACTTACTGATTACTTCAGAATGTTAAGATTACTTACCTTCTTACTTACCAGAGAGAGATAGACCAGAGGAAGAGAGAGAGAGCAGAGAAGGAGAGCAAAGAGAAAGACCAAAAACAGTGGATCCAGGACTGAGAATTTCCCCGAATACTAGTTTGTTGTGGGTGACTCTACATAACTTGTAGAGTCAAGTCGAGGAGAGTAGAGAGTAGAGAGTAGAGGGTAGAGAGTAGAGAGTAGAGGATCTGAGCAGCTCTTCAAGTGGAAGACTGAGACACCTCCAGTGCAAGAAGGAGCGCTACCACAGGACCTTCATCTCCAGCGCTGTCAGACTGTACAATGAGTCACTAAATTACTTGCGTTAGGACTGTAAACTCGCACTGCTATAGCCACTTTTCACGTGTTTGCACATTTCCTGTTATTTCCATCTTTCTGCACACCCTGAGGGATCCTGTTTACTGGAGAGTGGACAGCACTCTGGCTTCTCAGCAAGAAGGTCCTGGGTTCAAAGTCTGGTCAGAACAGGGCCTTTCTGAGTGGAGTTTGCATGTTCTCCCCGTGTATGCATAGGTTTCCTTCGGGTGCTCCGGTTTCCCCTACCACTGCTCCTGACGTATGCCTTAGTGGCATCAGGATGGGTCAAATGCAGAGGATGAATTTCCCTACGGGGAGAATAAAGTACACATTTACATTTATTTACATTTACTTGTTTTCCACGTGTCTGCTCCGGTGTCCTCCGGGTGCTTCGGTTTCTCCTACAACTGAAAACATGTACAATACAGGGATCAAGAGTTCTGAGCTTCCAGCTCGACCGCACGGCATTGTGGGTAGTTTTCTCAAAAAAGTGGGCATGAAATCACGCTCTCCTATTAGATTACCTGTTGCGAGCGTGATCTGTCTCTCTTTTTTCCAGCCCATCGATTGTTTTAATTGCTACAAAAATCACCAATTTCAGACATTTAGAAGGTAAAGATTTTTTCATGTAACAAAAAGCAATGCATTTTTTTCTTGTGGTTTTAGATGTAAACACAACCGACTGACTATAGAGCTACACGTAGCTTATGCTACTTACGAGGATCGAATGCTTACACAAGCTTTATAAACTTGCCCAAAGCTGTACTTTGGACATATTTGTCTGTGGAGCTTCTGAATGTAGAGAAGGCCAAATACCTGGAGCACGTCATCAGGAGTGACCTCAGTGAAGACGATGACATTCAGAGACAGCACTGTGAGCCGTACGGACAGGCTAACACTGAAGCACGGAGATTTCACATGTGTACAGAGAAAGTGAAAATAACTTTGTTTAAAGCCTACTGCACACCTCTCTATACCGCACCTCTCTATACTGCACACCTCTCTATACCGCACCTCTCTATGCTGCACCTCTCTACATTGCACACCTCTCTATACTGCACACACCTCTCTATACTGCACACACCTCTCTCCACTGCACACCTCTCTATACTGCACACACCTCTCTATGCTGCACCTCTCTACACTGCACACCTCTCTATACTGCACACACCTCTCTATACTGCACACACCTCTCTCCACTGCACACCTCTCTATACCACACACCTCTCTATGCTGCACCTCTCTACACTGCACACCTCTCTATACCACACACCTCTCTATGCTGCACCTCTCTACACTGCACACCTCTCTATACTGCACACACCTCTCTATACTGCACACCTCTCTATACTGCACACCTCTCTATACTGCACACCTCTCTATACTGCACACACCTCTCTATACTGCACACCTCTCTATACTGCACACCTCTCTATACTGCACACACCTCTCTATACTGCACACCTCTCTATACTGCACACACCTCTCTATACTGCACACCTCTCTATACTGCACACACCTCTCTATACTGCACACCTCTCTATACTGCACACACCTCTCTATACTGCACACCTCTCTATACTGCACACCTCTCTATACTACACACCTCTCTATACTGCACACCTCTCTATACTGCACACCTCTCTATACTGCACACCTCTATACACCTCTCTATACTGCACACCTCTCTATACTGCACACGCCTCTCTATACTGCACACACCTCTCTATACTGCACACCTCTCTATACTGCACACACCTCTCTATGCTGCACACACCTCTCTATACCGCACACACCTGCACCTCTCTATACTGCACACCTCTCTATACTGCACACACCTCTCTATACCGCACACCTCTCTATACTGCACACCTCTCTATACTGCACACACCTCTCTATACTGCACACCTCTCTATACTGCACACCTCTCTGTACTGCCAGCTCACTGTTTGTTCTTAATAATGTCCCCACTCTGAATGCTCTGATCACAAATGTTATTTATAAGTTTATGAAACGCTCTGAGGGCTCTATGTCCAAAGTACAGCTTTGGACAAGTTTATAAAGCTTGTGTAAGCATTCGATCCTCGTAAGTAGCATAAGCTGCATGTAGCTCTATAGTCAGTCGGTTGTGTTTACATCTCAAACCAAGAAAAATAATCCGTTGCTTTTTTGTTACATGAAAACATCTTAACCTTACCTTCTAAATGTCTGAAATTGGTGATTTTTGTAGCGATTAAAACAATCGATGGGCTGGAAAAAAGAGAGACAGATCACGCTCGCAACAGGTACAGTAATCTAATAGGAGAACGTGATTTCATGCCCACTTTTTTGAGAAAACTACCCACAATGCCATGCGGTCGAGCCGGAAGCTCGGAACTCTTGATCCCTGTGTAGGTATGAATGTAAAGTGAGTGAATGATTCCAGTGTGTTTGGCTTCTTCACCGTCTGGAAAGAATGGAACAATGCCTGAACTGTAAAAATGCGCTAAATAAATAAAGATGACATACTTACTTACTAAATGTAAATTTCTCCCCTGTGAGATCAATACAGTTTTATCTTATCTTATCTTAGAGTAGGGCTGGTGCCTATGCCTCAGCTACAGCAGTAGAATCTCTTTTCCTCTGGTTCCTTCTCTTTTGCGCAGAAGCAGAATTTGATGGAAACGACTGGAGACAACAATGAGCTCAGGATTTGTTCGGGCGAAAGTGAAAACCACACATTAAACACATTATAGCAGCGCGGCTCTTCGGGCCAAACTCCACACTCCACCAATGCCCTTTCACGCATCACTGTGGCCGTCGCTCCCTCAGAGACTGAACCCAGAGACTGAACCCAGAGACTGAACCAAGAGTCTGAACCCAGAGACTGAACCCAGAGACTGAACCCAGAGACTGAACCAAGAGTCTGAACCCAGAGACTGAACCCAGAGACTGAACCCAGAGACTGAACCAAGAGTCTGAACCCAGAGACTGAACCCAGAGACTGAACCCAGAGACTGAACCCAGAGATCAGGACTCTGGTCAAAGTTGCAGAGAGAGTTTACTCTGAGCATGGATGACTATGTATGTGGTTCCAGGGGGGCAAACATGCAAATATAGCCTGGTTTCTTTCTCTTTTACTCGCTTAAAGTTGTTTTTAGATTGATTCATGCATGTTTGAGAGTGTATAGATTTCCCAAGGGAGAACTTCAGGTGTCCAGCAGCAGAAACACATCCATTCATACAAACATAAACAAATAAACACATATATCTAAAAAAACATAAAATTTAAATCTGTTTTGAGTGGATTCTGGCTGTTATGAGTAGCTGAGGAGAGGAGAGCTGAGGAAAGTAGAGTAGAGATGAGTAGAGTAAAGTAGAGTAGAGCTGAACTGAGTAAAGGAGAGGATACTGAGTAGAGTAGAGCTGTGGAGTGTAGAGTACGGGAGCGGGACAGGAGTAGACTGAACAAGCTGGTCAGGAGGGCCAGTTCTGCTCTGGGCTGCTGCCTGGACTCTGTGGAGGAGGTGAGGGACAGGAGGTGCTAGTCAAAGCCACCTCCATCATGAACAACACCTCCCACTGCACAGGACTGTAGAGGAGCTGAGGAGCTCCTTCAGTGGAAGACTGAGGCACCCTCAGTGCAAGGAGCGCTACCACAGGGCCTTCATCTCCACCACTGTCAGACTGTACAATGGGTCACTAATACACTAGGACTGAAAAATAACCTGCACTGCTATTGCTACTCTTTAATAATATCCTGCACAGACTATGTTTTTAACCTTTAACATGATGCACACTTCTGTCTTTTGTACAATCTGAGTGATTCTATCCATGCCAAATGTGACATGTAAATTTCTCCAGTGTGAGATCAATAGCCGACCTTATCTTATCTCACAGTACAGTATTGTGAATGTGATTGACAGCATCTTGTGCTGCCAGTAAAACGGCACTGGTGTCATTCGAAGATTTGAAAAATCAAAGACTACAGCCCTCTGGTGTCATTTTTAATCTTTTCTGTTGAAAAAGCTGATCTGATTGATACGACAAAAATACATATATGTGAAAACTAGTGATAGAAGCTCCTGTTTTAACCATTTAGCTCTAACCCCATTTCCACCAGCCATACACTACTGTACTCTACCCCAATCTACTCTCCCCCAATTGGGAGTGTTTCCACTAGCCTTCTTTAACCAGTACCAGGGCCTTCTTTAGTCCCTCTTGGCCCTGGTTTACCCAGGATGAACTGACATCAATGCCCCCAATCAACACCCTCCATTCACTCACTTTTCATTCATACCTATTGTACATTTTTTCAGTGGTAGGAGATACCAGAGCACCCGGAGGACCCCGGAACAGACACGGGGAAAACAAGCAAATGTAAATAAATGTAAATGTGCATCTTTATTGTCCTCGTAGGGAAATTTAACCTCTGCATTTGACCCATCCTGATGCCGCTGAGGCATACGTCAGGAGCAGTGGTAGGGGAAACCGGAGCACTCGGAGGAAACCTATGCAGACACGGGGAGAACATGCAAACTCTTCTCAGAAAGGTCCTGTTCCGACCGAGCTGGTACTAAAGTGTTCTAACTGACAGTGATTGGCCAGAGTGCAGCTTGAAGCCGTGGTTATCAAGGAATTTAGAAGCTGGTCTACTGTAAACAGGGCTTAGGCTCCGCATGGGTTTCTTACATAATGACATTTTACTTTATGTGGTTTAAAAATGAAGTGAATAATAAACACATATTAAATTAAGAGATCCTTTATTCGTCCCACAGTGGTGAAATTTCAGTATATTAAATAATTTCAGTAAATATTAAACCACTATTTATATTTCCTCTTAAATACTAAACTAATTGAACTTCCCTTGGGTTTCCTGGGTTATTTTCCACCACATACGTATATAAGACCCTCTTTTCTCACTTTTGGCCTAGATTCCGATCCCACTGGAGCCCTACAGGAGCCCTCCCAGTCTCTCACACTCAGATATAAGCACACACACTCTGTACAGATGATAAAGGCGGACCCAGCAGTATATCACTTATTGAAGCTCGTAGTGTCCGCGTCAGCATCCAGTCAGCACAAAACTAACGCTAATTTAACACTAATTTGATAAGAGTTTTGTGTTGCTTCCGTCATGGCTTCCTTCCTGCTCCCAGGTCGCCAACACATCGGACCTGGCTTTATGCAATATTGAATAATATTTTGAGGATGCTGACGTTTTCTATTCAGATATGTGCTTACAAGCTGTGGAGTTTGGACTTCTTACAGTAAATCAGGTCCCATTGTGTGTGGGTGTTTGTTTTAAACCAGAAGTTCTGCTGACTTCAGTTTTTCTTCAAAGATTGTAGCTCAAGGACTGAGGCTGTTGATCCAAGACTAAGGCTGTAGATCCAAGACTGAGGTTGTAGATCCAGGACTGAGGCTTTTTTATCCAGGACTGAGGCTGTAGATCCAGGACTGAGGCTTTTTTATCCAGGACTGAGGCTTTAGCTCCAGGACTGAGACTGTAGAACCAGGACTCAGGCTGTGGATCCAGGACTGAGGCCCCCATATCAGAATCAGAATCGGAATCATTTTTATTGCCATGTAAGTAACAGGTAGTCACAGACTAGGAAATTGCTTTGGCTCTTGGTGCAACAGTCAAAGAAGAGAGATGAATAATAGAGCAAGACATATCAGAAATCAGCAAACACTTCTAAGGTGAAAAATGCAAATTAAAATCATGTGTCAGTGATGGTGGAAAAAAAGTGTTTAGTCAAACCAAATCTAAACCAAGTCGAAAGCTGAACATTCCCAGGTCTAAACCAGCTCTTTATGTGACTATTATTATGATGGATCACCCAAAAAATAACAAAATAGAGACTGGCGGGACAGAGAGGGAGAGAGAAACCAGAGAGACCAGAGAGATTGGGGGTTGGTGAGACAATTTTCAACCTACACACTGGAAGCCATATTTAGAAAAACTCAATCCAATATGTTAAAGCCAGCAAGAAATATTAACATTTTCTCAGTATTTCCTGAAATACATTTGCAATCCTCTTCAGCGCTTTGAAGAGAGATCGTCACGCTCTTCTCAGCTCCGGAATTCCTGCTTTGTTTGTCTCTGTTCTGTTTTTTACATATAGCGCCTTTGAAATACCCCTTTTATCACGTTAACCATGACCACTTTACTCTCCCTCCCCCCTCTCCCCCCTCTCCTCGTGTGTACGCATAACAGTTTGAGAAACACCATGTTGCATTTTCTGTGCTGCTTGTTAGACGCTGTTCCAGTGGAAAAAAAGGTCAGATGCAGAATATATTAACTCATTTTGTGTATATTCTCAGCCCCAGAGAGACCTGACAGAGAGAGCAGAGAGAGAGACGAGAGAGAGCCGAGATAGAGACCAAAAAGAGACCAGAGAGAGAGACTAGCGAGAGAGCCGAGAGAAAGACCAAAAAGAGACCAGAGAGAGAGACTAGCGAGAGAGCCGAGAGAAAGACCCAGAAAGAGAACAGAGAGAGACAGAGACTAGAGAGAGACCATGAGAGAAACCAGACCGAGGGTGAGTAGAGAGAGACTAGAGAGACTAAAGAGAGGGACCCGAGAGAGAGGCCAGAGTGAGAGACCAAAAAGAGACCAGAGAGAGACAAGAGAGAAACAGAGAGAGAGCAGAGAGACCAGAAAGAGGGCAGAGAGAGAGAGAGAAACAGAGAGAGAGCAGAGAGACCAGAAAGAGGGCAGAGAGAGAGAGAGAGACCAGAGAGAGAGCCGAGAGAGAAACCAAAAAGACAGAGAGGGACTAGCGAGAGAGCCGAGAGAAAGACCAGAAAAAATACCAGAGTGAGAGAGAGACTAGAGAGAAAGCAGAGAGAGACCAAACAGAGGGAGAGCTGAGAGAGAGATACCAGAGAAAGAGACTAAAGAGGGATTAGAGAGAGGGACCAGAAAGAGCAGAAAGTGAGAGACCAGAGAGAGAGAGAGCAGAGAGACCAGAGAGAGAGAGAGAGAGAGCAGAAAGAGAACAGACAGAGGGAGAACAGAAAGAGAGAGACTTGAGAAAGAGACCAGAATGACCAGAGTGAGAGACCAGAGAGAGAGCAGAGAGTGTCTAGAGACCAGAGACCAAAGACGGACCAGAGAGAGAGACCAGAGAGAGAGACCAGACACTCCTACATTTGTACACAGTGGATCCTCTCATACTGGGGGCAGATCTCTCGTGGAGCTGGTCTGAATGACACAGACGTGAGCAGCTGACCTGGATGTCCCGGATAAGCGGCCGAGGAGATGTTCACTCATGTGTTTCCTCGTTCACTGTCTCTGCGCTCGCTCCACGTGAGTCACACTCTGCTAAATTAGCTGCAGACGCTGTTATCGGACCGTAGGAAAACACAAACATCCAGCGCTCTTTCTATTTCAGTCGCTGAAAGTCCCTCATTAATTCTCATAAATCAGGCTTTCTTGAAACCCCTGTCATTTGCTCATTGAATATTTGAGCTGGAGAACAAAGATCTTCTTAGCACTGATCAGCAGCGCTCTGATTGGTCAGAATGTCTCTATCTGGTCTCGCTCTGGTCTGTCTTTGGTCTCTCTCTCTCTGCTTTCTCTGTTCTCTCTCTTTCTGGTCTCCATCTGGTCTTCCTCTGGTCTATCTCTGCTTTCTCTTCTCTCTCTTTCTGGTCTCCCTCTGGTTTTCCTCTGGTCTATCTCCGGTCTTTCTCTGGTCTCTATAACTGGTCTCTCTCTAATCCCTCTCTGATCTCTCTCTGGTCTCTCTCTGGTCTCTCTTCTCTCTCTTTCTGGTCTCCCTCTGGTCTCCCTCTGGTCTTCCTCTGGTCTATCTCTGGTCTCTATAACTGGTCTCTCTCTAATCCCTCTCTGGTCTCTCTTTGGTCTCTCTCTGGTCTCTCTTTCTGGTTGCTCTTTGGGCTCTGGTCTCTCTCTTTCTGGTCTCCCTCTGGTCTAGCTCTGGTCTTTATAACTGGTCTCTCTCTGGTCTATCTCTGGTCTCTATAACTGGTCTCTCTCTGGTCTCTCTCTCTCTCTGGTCTCTCTCTGGTCTTCCTCTAGTCTTCCTGTGGTCTCTCTCATAAATCGGGCTTGCTTGGAATCCCTGTCATTTTCTCGTTAAATATTTGTCTGTGCGCAAGAACAAAGATCTTCTATTGGAGCGATGTGGTGCTCTCAAACTTCTGGACAATGATGTGATATAAATGACCCTATATTTCTCACTTGTGGTGTAATCCATGAATGTTTAATGCAAAATTGACTCAGCAATTTCAATGTATTTGTGTACAGCCCTAAATCACAGCAGCAGTCGTCTCAGGGGACTTTACAAAGATTCTTCAACAACAGATCAGAGAATCAAACACACATTCGAACACGGAAATTCAAGAATAACAAACACACAGAAACCCCCGGGGTGAGTTAGGATCTGCTGCCACGGACGGACAGGCTGCTGATCCAGGATTATGTACAAGTTTCTCCATGACCTCACACCAAAATCTGTGACATATTTGTGCCTTTTGAACTGTTGTGGAATTTCTAAGGAGTGAAGTACACAATATTAAATATAAAATAAACAACAAGAGCTGTAATTCAAATCAAATTATGGTTTATTATCTCAGTAAATGTAAACATATAGAGGAAATACAACCGTGTAACCGCGTGGCAGGTCCCGGATAGATCTGCTGAATAGTGCTCATTCTCTCTCATATTTATAGGATGGAACAAACAGAAGAGTCTATCTATGGCGTCTCTGAGTCCGAGATTAAGTGGTAGCCGTAGCCCAAACCCCCCTCTCTTCTGACGTCTCACTCTGATATTACTCTGATATTAGGAAGAATTGTCAGTATGACCGGTGAGCCCGCTCTTCTTGCCCCTGATATCAAGCTACTATCTGCCTCCACCCCGTCATTGGCCTCGCGTCCCTACAGAACAACAGTTTAGTTACTTTGAACAGATTGACTAGCTTTGAACTTTGTCCCAGATATCCTAATTCATCATTCGATTAATTCTTAAGTTAAATTGATTTATAATCCCAGTTAGATTTCTATAACAGAACCAACTCGGACTCTGAGGAGCACAGGGACTGGCCTCCTCCTGGGGCTTTGAGGAGCACAGTGACTGGCCTCTTGCTGGTGCTCAGTGTCAGGACTAAACATGGAGAGGCAGCGTTTCAGATTTATGCTGCTAAAATGTGGAACAGTCTTCCTAGAAATATGAGGCAGGCTTCTACACTGACAATGTTCAAATCCAGGTTCTGTTTAGCTGTGCATACAACGGCTGGATGTATCTTTTTTTAATGTACTATTCATAATTTTAATACCCTGTGTGAGTGTTTCTTACTTGACTTGTTGCACTTGTGTATGAACTGTGCTATACAAATAAACTTACCTTGCCTTGTTCTCATAATGACCTAAGCGAGGGGAGGGGGAGCTGTTGTGTTTTCGGCGTGGCCTGCAGAAAGCCCCAGTCAGCGGGAGAGCTGAGGTGTGAAGTGATCAGTGGGAAGTAACGAGCTCCAGGAACTGAATGAGACTAATGACGACTGCTGAACAAACAACTTGAACTGATTTAACGTCTCATTTACATTCAGTCATTTGTCTAATTTTCTGTCTCTGGAGGTGCACAGATCTCTGCCATCGTTCCATTCTCCATCTCTTTAAGGAAATTGGGGATGGATCCTAAAGTATTACAGCATTCAAGTCTGTAATGGAGTTTTAATTAGTCCTGTACAAGGATGTATGATAGTGTGTGGATGGTGTTGCTCCATAAACCTGTCTCCACATGGACTAGAGGCCACCCGCGGTACTGCAGCCTAATTCCACATGGGCTGTAAGGAGACATCCCCTAGACTCAATGTTCCCTAAAATGGCTGGTCCTTAGTTATGGGGAACTATAGCTTTCACAAAGGTGGATTCTGTGAGGATTTTTGTGTCTTCTCTGTGTCATTCTGAACTTTATGTCTTTTGAAATTTGTCGGTTTTCTATAAATCTACGCCTTTGTGCCACAAACTTGGCTGCCTCATTTCCTGCTTTTCAGAAACTCCTCTCTGATTAGTGGCGGTCTGATTGGTCAGAATGCTCACATGTCTTTCTCTGGTATCTCTAAGGTCTCTCTCTCTGGTCCCTCACTCTCTGATCTCTCTCTGGTCTCTCTCATCTGTCTCTCTCTGGTCTCGTCCGAGGTCTTTCTAGTTTTCCCCTAGTCTCTCTCTGGTCCCTCTCTCTCTGGCCATTGATCTGTATGAGCAGACATCTTGGAGACCTGAGGCAGAAATCATGATGGTTTGTTGTGGGTAGGTTGCAAGGACACAGTACCAGATCTTCAAGTATAATGGAAATGCAACCAGGGAGAGTTGAGTAGAACAGAGTAGGGTAGAAAAAGAATCTTCACATATTAGAAGCTTTAAAGACCAATACATTGTTGTTGTGTTCCAACCCAGATATGTCCCAGTTTTGACTTTCTGAAATTCTACTTGTACCATCAATGCTGTCATTCTTCCTCAGCTCTTTAACCAACATAATTCTTTCTCTCTCCCAGGTCGCCAATCTGCTGCGCCTCTTCCAGATACCTCAGATCAGCTACGCATCGACCAGCGCCAAACTCAGCGACAAAACGCGCTACGACTACTTTGCCCGCACCGTCCCGCCCGACTTCTACCAGGCCAAAGCCATCGCCGAGATCCTACGCTACTTCAACTGGACCTATGTCTCCACGGTCGCCTCCGAAGGGGACTACGGTGAGACTGGCATTGACGCGTTCCAGCAGGAAGCCCGAGCGCGGCAGATATGTATCGCAACATCCGCCAAAGTCAGCCGCTCCATGAGTCGATGGAGCTACGAGAACGTGATCCGATCTCTGCAGCAGAAGTCCAACGCCAAAGTGGTGATCCTGTTCACGCGGAGCGAAGACGCCAGGGAGCTGCTGGTCGCCGCTAATCGAATGAACGTGACTTTTACGTGGGTGGCGAGTGACGGCTGGGGCGCGCAGGAGAGCGTAGTGAGAGGGAGCGAAGCCGTAGCAGATGGAGCGTTCACTATCGAACTCGCCTCCTACGAGATCCCACAGTTTAACAAGTATTTCACCAACTTACACCCGTACAACAACACCAGGAACCCCTGGTTTCGGGAGTTCTGGGAGAATCAGTTCCAGTGCAGTCTGCAGGATCTGGGCTGTGGGAGGCACTCGCTGCGGGACGTCCCGTTTCAGCCCGAGTCGAAGATCATGTTTGTGGTGAATGCGGTGTTTGCCATGGCGCATGCGCTGCATCACATGAGGCAGTCTCTGTGCCCCAACTCCACCAAAGTCTGTGAGGCTCTAAAGCCAGGAAACGGGCGCAAGTTCTACCGAGACTACATCCTCAAGGTCAAGTTTGATGGTGAGTGTGACACTGGTTTGTACTATATCAATAAATATAACTCACTTACTTTCTACTCCCCAACCCCTTATCCCTTACCTTTTCTCTGAAATCCTTTTGAAATGGTCCACCCAGTGCCCAGACTAATAACACAGTGTACCCTCGCTCTATCTCGGTTCACTGTTTCGGATTTTTGTGTGTCATTGTGGGTTTTTTACAACGTGCTTCTCATGCGCTGCATGTATAATCCAACAACATCATTTAACTGCAGGTTAAATATGACAGATTATTATGGCGCTCTCTGGTCTCTCTGTGGTCTATTTCTCTGGTCTTTCTCTGGTCTCTCTCTGATCTTTTGCCAAAGAATAAACAAAGAATATAGGAAATGCAACAACAAGGAGCCATTGGTCCATAGGGAGCAGGATGACCATTGTCCAGAAATGTTTATAGATGTCCTCAATCATCACTTTCCTTAGACCCTCCTGCATCATCAAGGAACCACAGTGAGAAACCCTGGGGAGGCTCACATTGAGTGAGGGATCTCACAAACTAGCTGTAGATTCAGGACTGAGGCTGTGCGGTGCAGGACTGAAGAGACTCCCAGGCGGGTTGTAGGCCATGACCAGTTCCCAGGTGCATGACACAGTGACTGGGTTCAGGGGTCCCCTCATAATGGGATAGCGGTTGAATAACAATCGGGACTACAGCTGAAATAGATACATCTTCACAAATGCATTGACTCATTGTTTTGTCCTTGAGGTCAAAATATGAAATAATGTAATGTATTCTATGTGGATGATTACTGTTTACCCGTCAATAATCTTAGAAATAATACATCCAGAATCGTAGTACTAAATATCTGTTACAGCTTCTCAAAGGATTTGTTGAATAAAAATCAACATAACAAGCAACAACAATGGTATGAGTTTGTTATGTGCATGAAGCCAATCACCTAAACTCCCACAGAGATAGATTGTAAAAGCATATTCAACAGATCTCACTGTCCTTGATATAGAGAATCTTTAACCGAAAAGAAAACGAATGAAAAGGGACAACATGTACAAACACAATGATATTGGAATATTACAAAAGAAGCATTACTCTTTTCCAGCAGAAGGTCTTCAAGGTCAGTGAATGAATTATCGAGCAAGGCTGGCGAATGAATAGAGCTGTGAATGTACATGAGGCTGTTTGATCAAATCATGTCTTTTCTGCTGAGCCTCTCTGCTCTCTCTCTCTCTCTCTCTCTCTCTGCTCTCTATCTGGTCCCTCTGTGGTCCATCTCACTCTGGTCTTTTTTGGGTCTCTCTGTGGTCTCTCTGTGGTCTCTAGTCCCTCTCCCTGGACCCTCTTTGTTCTCTCTCCGGTTTCTCTCTAGTCTCTCTCTTTCTGGTTTCTCTTTGGTTTCTCTCTGGTTTCCCTCTGGTCTCTCTGTGGTCTCTCACTCTGGTCTCGCTCTGATTTCTCTCTCTCTCTTCTCTCTTGTCTCTCTCTGGTCCATCTGTGTATCTCACTGTGATCTTTCTTGGGTCTCTCTCTCTGGTCTCTCTTCTCTCTCTGAACCATCATTGGTCTCTCTCTGGTCTCTCTCTCTCTCTTTCTGCTCTGAGGCCTCTAGTCTCTCTCCCTAGACCCTCTTTGGTCTCTCTCACTCTGGTTTATCTCTCTGGTCTCTCACTAGTCTCTCTCTGGTCTCTCTCTGGTCTCTCACTGGTCTCTCACTTCAGCAGTTGTGAGTTCAGGTGTTCAGAAAAGTGTAAATAGTGTGTGAGAAGTATTTACAGCCTTAAAACATAGATTTGCAACTTCAAGGATTTCACTTATTGTGGGTTATTTTTAGAAAACATCGCCCCCGCCATGAACCAGGGACCACTGTAACTATCTGTTGTCCTGAATCCATTCTGATGTGGCTAAAGCTCCTTTTACCCACAGGCTGCAGATACAGTACGTCTGTAATGGTTCATTTTGCAGAGGATGACACATCCACCTCCGCGCACCGCTCTAAGTGTGAACACAGTGGCATTTCAAGAAGATGACAAAACTCTCTATTTCTTGTCCAAATACCAAGAATTATATGTGTTAGAACCAGAAAAAAAACATCCACTGTTTGCTACTACGGCTAATTAGACGCCTGCAACAAACAAACGGCAAAGAGATTCTGAAATGAATTGTTCAATCTTTTAATCCTCAATTTTCACAACCACCCTATATTTATAGCAGAGAGTTGAATTGTCTTTAAGGGAAGCAAAAACGTATCTACTCCACTCTGTTCGACTGTACACAACCCTATTCTACTTTACTGACCTTTCTCTGTCTCCTCTCTCACCTCTGACCTATCTGTTTTTTTCCAGCACCTTTCCATTCTTTGGAGTGGGGACAGCATAGAGTAAAGTAGAGAAGAGTAGAGTTGAGGAGAGGGGAGGAGAGGGCTGGTAGAACCTATGTATATGGCTATACTATAGGGCTATAGTTGGTCATGGTTACTCACCCAAGCTTTAACAACAGCTCCACTCTCAACTCTGACCTTTGTCTCACCTCTACCCGTTCTCTCAGTCTCTCCTCTCACTTCTGACTTTCCTCTCCAACTCCTCTCTCATCTCTTACCTATCTCTCCTCTCTCACCTCTGACCTTTCTCTCTGTCTTTTCTCTCACCTCTTCCCTTTCTCTGTCTCCTCTCTCACCTCTAAACTCTGACCTTTCTCTCCGTCTCCTCTCTCACCTGACTTTCCTCTCTGACTTCTCTCTCATCTCTCACCTCTGACCTCTCTCTCCGTCTTTTCCCTCACCTCTAAACTTTCTCTCAGTCCCCACTCTACTCTCTCGCCTCCCTCTCTGTCTCCTCTCTCACCTCTGACCTCTGACCTTTCTCTCCGTCTCCTCCAGCTCCCTTCCATCCTCCGGAGCGTGAGAACGTGGTCCGCTTCGACAACTTTGGGGACAGCATTGGTCGCTACAACATCTTCCACTACCACAAGGAAGACAACCGCTATGTCTACCGCAAAGTCGGCTACTGGGCCCAGGGCCTGACTCTGGACACCAGCCTCATCCCCTGGCCCTCCCAGCTCCCGCCCACCTCCCAATGTAGCGACCCCTGCAGGAAGAACGAAGTAAAGAACATGCAGCCTGGAGACGTGTGCTGCTGGATCTGCATTCCCTGCCAGCCGTACCAGTTCCTGCAGGACGAGTTCACCTGCGCGGACTGCATATTCGGTCAGTGGCCTCTTGCTAACTTAACCGGCTGCTACGACTTACCGGAGGAGTATATCCGCTGGGAGGATGCATGGGCGATCGGTCCCGTCACCATCTCGTGTTTGGGAATGATGTGTACCTTGTTTGTGATTGGGATTTTCCTCAAGCACAACGAAACACCCGTGGTTAAAGCTAGCGGGCGCGAGCTTTGCTACATCCTCTTGCTAGGTGTGCTAATGTGCTACTGCATGACTTTTATATATATCGCCAAGCCTTCCACGGCAATTTGCACACTGCGACGGCTAGGTCTGGGCACGTCTTTTGCGGTGTGCTACTCCGCGCTGCTAACCAAGACAAATCGCATCGCTAGGATATTCAGCGGGGTCAAAGACGGCGCGCAAAGACCACGGTTTATAAGCCCAGCGTCGCAAGTGGCGATCTGCGGAGGGCTTATATCCTGCCAGCTGGTGGTGGTGCTGGTTTGGATGCTAGTGGAGACTCCGGGAGTGAGAAAAGAGGTGAGCCCGGAGAAGAGGGACATAGTGACGCTGAAGTGTAACAGCAGAGACACTAGCATGCTAATATCGCTGACGTACAACTGTATCCTGATCATCTTGTGCACATTCTACGCGTTCAAAACAAGGAAGTGCCCCGAAAATTTCAACGAGGCCAAGTTTATCGGCTTCACAATGTACACCACCTGCATCATCTGGCTCGCCTTCCAACCCATCTTCTATGTCACCGCCAGCGACTACAGGGTGAGTATTAGTTTACCTTACAGTAATATACTATCATTTATATGTTTCTCCTTGAACATTTCATAAAAGCAGGAAACAAAAGACTTTTCTTGCGTCAGAGTGGGTCATCTACAAAATCAGGGCAAATATTTCAAATACAACACATGAACTGTATGCCGATGGACAATGCTAACCTGAAAGTTCAATGAAGCCAGCTAGCTTCAACTCGCTCTGGCTCCTATTGACTTACAGTTAAACGTAAATTCTTCTAGCTAGGTAACCGTTTGTGTCACTCTCAATGTATAAATAATGGCTGAAAGAATCTGTGGTTTCGGTCTCTCTGTGATCCTAGTGAGAAACACTATACAAGAACATACTGTACTTTCTGTGGATTACATATGTATACTTTTATGAGTGAATCGGTAGATAACGGCTCAATGATTGTGTGGCAAAGTGGAGGCTGCTACACGCTCCGAAAATAATGACCAATTAAATAAAAGAAAGAAAAACCAGCAACGCCAGGGCAGAGTGCCCAAAATAAAATAAAAATAAAAGCGCTCTAAGGCGCACAAGTTCGTTCAATCATTAAGAGGCATAGGCAGACAGTCTGTATACTGATTTATTATTCTACATTATGTTTAGTTCATTTATAGTGATTCACATCTACTTTACACGAGCCCATCTTCCAGTCACGATGGACTCAAGAGCACAGGTGAACACAAAAAGAATCAGAACAGGGAGAGAAACGAGAGACAGCAGGAGAAACAGCGGTGGGCCGCGATGTGGCCAGTCCTCCAGCTTTCATACAGCAATTGCCGAGCACACACCCTTGACGGGTGACGGTTTAAAGGCCAGACCCACAGCCGGCTACGACACACTCGGACCCCAACGAGGGTGGCCAGACGCCAAAGTGACAGAACAGCATGGCTACACAGAAGCAGGGTTCGCGGGGCACAATGCCGCACCACGGCACTGGAGCAGGAGAAGGGCTGGCGCAACGACCCACAGGAGACGGAAGTGCAGAGGTAAACAAGAGAGGCGACTCGAGGCTATTTATACTGTTTATATGCGCCCTCTACTGGACAGAAATATGGTGGCCAAGACCAGCTTGCCACATTCATCCCCCCAAAGTTTTGACGACGCCCCGACGTCAACTAAACTAAAGCACACAACTCTCAAATGTAGCGCTACCACTCATACTACACGCACTGAACGTTCATGACACACGCATCTAAAAGTTAAAAATGGGCCTAGGTGGGTTTGAGCCACTAAAAGACCCATAACTGGTCTTGGTGGGTTTGAGACAAATCAAGACCACGCAGCGCTGAGCTTAAAACCACTAAAAAAAAAACCGCATCAGTGGCAGCCACTGAGCGTGATGCAAGTGGATGATCACTGGTCCAATTCTATTGCCGTGAAGGCGAGAAAAGGAGGCCCTGAAGGCTTAGGAAGTCCACTGCAACATTCTCTACACAAACCTACCTGTTGCACGCAAAAGTACTCCTGACCACACAGGTGAACAACGGGTGCGCCTTAAACGCTATGTGAGGCATCCTTCATCTCACTGCACCGCAGTCCGGGATCACACCACAGGAGACAAAAGTTACAGGTTCCACTAGGCTTCGTAGGTGACCATCTGAAATCCCGTCTCATCTCTCCGCAACTATACAGCTCCAACCACCGCTGTTTCTCCTTCACAAAACAAAAAAACACAGAATTTACAACAGTAGTGCGACACATTACAGCAACACCAGACAGATAGCGTAGCAGAAGTTCACATGTGAGGGTTTTAGCCGTGTCATTTTATGGCTGTGTTTAAATTTAAAACAAAGACCATGCACAAATCAAAAGCACAAAACACACACACAAAAAAGCACATCAAAACAAAGAAAATAATAAACACAAGACAAAACAATGACAGGTTTTAAGTCACATAAAACAAAACGCTAATGCTACTGAAATTGGCTGCAACAAAGAACAGAGTACACTATGCCTCATTTTAACGATTATCCTGCCAGCGAACGCCAAGTGTGGCAAAGTGGAGGCTGCTACACGCTCCGAAAATAATGACCAATTAAATAAAAGAAAGAAAAACCAGCAACGCCAGGGCAGAGTGCCCAAAATAAAATAAAAATAAAAGCGCTCTAAGGCGCACAAGTTCGTTCAATCATTAAGAGGCATAGGCAGACAGTCTGTATACTGATTTATTATTCTACATTATGTTTAGTTCATTTATAGTGATTCACATCTACTTTACACGAGCCCATCTTCCAGTCACGATGGACTCAAGAGCACAGGTGAACACAAAAAGAATCAGAACAGGGAGAGAAACGAGAGACAGCAGGAGAAACAGCGGTGGGCCGCGATGTGGCCAGTCCTCCAGCTTTCATACAGCAATTGCCGAGCACACACCCTTGACGGGTGACGGTTTAAAGGCCAGACCCACAGCCGGCTACGACACACTCGGACCCCAACGAGGGTGGCCAGACGCCAAAGTGACAGAACAGCATGGCTACACAGAAGCAGGGTTCGCGGGGCACAATGCCGCACCACGGCACTGGAGCAGGAGAAGGGCTGGCGCAACGACCCACAGGAGACGGAAGTGCAGAGGTAAACAAGAGAGGCGACTCGAGGCTATTTATACTGTCTATATGCGCCCTCTACTGGACAGAAATATGGTGGCCAAGACCAGCTTGCCACAATTGCTGTTAAAGATTTATGGTAAAGTTTGGGCCCCCCTGGTCTCTGGTTACATAACTCTACACTTTGAGGCAGGTTTTAGCTCATATTTAACAACCTCAGGAGATGAAATGAGATAGCATGACCTGTCCAGCCCATCCATGTCTCCCTCCCCTCCCGCCCCCCGTCTCTCCCCCGTTTCCCCTGCAGCTCTGACCATCCCTCTCTCCTCTTGCTCCTCATGAGCCGCTCTATAATGACCTCAGCCTTATTTACCTTTGAGCCTGAATTATTCATGAGGATGTGTGAATGATGAATGAATGTGTGAACACCGCAGAGAGGACAGGTGGTGGACCACGGCACACCTGTGAATTCAGGGTAAAAAATCATCATTACCATGGCGATTAGCAACAACTTTTCAGTCAGGGAGACCACTAAACGGAACTAGCAGGGAGGTCATTAGCGCCACAGAAGTATACAATAGAAAACATATTTTCCCACACAGAGTAACACAAAGCGCTTCACAGTCCACATCACACAAGGCACAAATCACCAGAACAGGTAATAAAAAACATTAAAACATTAAAACCACACAGGTATTTAAAAACATGAAAACGTTAAAATCACAGAAGAGGTTAAAATGATAATTAACCACAGTGCATTAAGAAGAGTAGTGAGAAAATCCTTCAGTTGTATGCACAGGAGTAGGGCAGGGTAGGGCAGGGTAGGGCAGGGTAGGGTAGGGTAGGGTAGGGTAGGGTAGAGTGTAGAAGGATAGCAGTAGGGTTACAATTGTCCATCTACAGTATATACAGTCTCTGCATACATAACAAATATATACAATATTGTTGATTTGAGTTGACTTGAGTGTTTATATATTTTAAGTTCAATGTACATCAAACATTAATTACACTGGGTAACAAAACATTTTTTTTGAAAATAGTCCAGGGTTTTCCAGCTGAATTAGACTAATTTTGATGCTCTGAGTCCGAAAATGACCTTGGATTTGCTCAATCACGTCAGGATTTTTTGCTACAGAATTTTTTTTTAAATCGATTTTGCGTAAAAAACAAATTTCTGCGGATCATCAGCTGAGAAACCCTTGACGTTTTTTCCGTTTTCCTCGAGAAATAAAAGTCAACGTATCCAAAGTCATTCAGTTTTTATTTGCTCCATCAAATATGATAAGCAGAATTCATAATATTAGTAAAACAATGAGCGTTACGTGACACAAAATTTTAGAGTTCACGACATAAATCGGTGTTTCTTCGATTCCCGTGTGTGAGCAGCTGCTGGGTTGTCTCTCTTCAGCGACCAGCAGTAGTCCGCCATCATGACTGCGTCCCACCTTCCCTGGTACCTCTCCTCCATTTGGCGCATGTCCTGATGGAACCTTTCTCCCTGCTCGTCGCTCATCGCCCCAAGGTTTTCAGGAAACTTCTCCATGTGTGAGAACAGGAAGTGAACCTTTATACTCATCAAACACCCGAGTTTTTGGAAGGCCTTTATCATCTTGCTGAGTATGGCGTGGTTTGCTGCCCTCTATGATTTAACTGGATTAGTTTGTTTATAATAAAATATCTCCTCGTCGCTACGGATTTGTTATTGAACACACACCACACACGTAAAACATAGACGTACATAATCCGTAAAACTATGGCTGTATTGTATCTCAAAAAGTTGACCTGATAGAGCAAAATGCATGTGATATTCTGACGCAGAACACCAAAATTAGTCTAAATCAGTTGAGAAACCCCTGACCATTTTTTGGCTGTCAACTTGTGTTATCAAATGTCACTACATAGCATTTTCAAGAAAATAATTCAGTTACAATGTATTATTGTTGTACATTATTCTAACTCAAAAAGGAGTGAGCAGAAAAATCGTACAAATTCCCACTCCTGTGAATATCATATTTACATCCGAGTGTTTGGAGCCCGTAGCAACCAGCAGCACAATGACCTCAACCAATCCTGACGCAGCAGGCACCAGGGTAGCATCAAACCAGCGACGCACCAAAGCCCGAGCCAGAACTGCATATACTTTACCCCATAGGTGAAATTGTGGTCAATTTCATTAAATCCCAAAATTTAGATTTGTCTCTATTTTTTTCTATTTTTTTCTCTTTTTCTGGCTTGAGGTTGACTTTGGGAAACAGAAAAAAACAAAAACTATTGGATAAAGATATTATAAAACCTTGCATCGCTCTGTGGAGCAGTAGAGTGGTGAGAAATGTGGGACAATAACAACAGTCGCTGAGCAGAGATTGGACCCACGCTCCGGCCGCTCTGTGGAGATTGTTTCTGCTGCGGCTGAAATGAGCAAACAGTGATCTGATGAAA